AAATATTGGCCTGTAGTTCTCTTTTTTTGTGGTTTCTTTATCTGGCTTTGGTATCAGAGTCATGCTAGCCTCATAGAATGAATTTGGAAGTTTTCCTTCTTCTATTTTTTGGAATAGTTTGAGAGGAATAGGTACTAACTTTTCTTTAAATTTTTTTTAACATTTATTTATTTTTGAGACAGAGACAGCATGAATGGGGGAGGGTCAGAGAGAGAGGGAGACACAGAATCCGAAACAGGCTCCAGGCTCTGAGCTGTCAGCACAGAGCCCGACGCGGGGCTCAAACTCACGGACCGCAAGATCATGACAGCCAAAGTCAGACGCTTACCCGACTGAGCCACCCAGGCGCCCCGGTATTAACTCTTCTTTAAATGTTTGGTAGAATTTGCCTCTGAAGACGACTGGTCCTGGACTTTGGTTTGTTGGGAATTTGTTTTTTAAAAGATTTTATTTTTAAGTGATCTCTACACCCACTGTGGGCCTTGAACTCACAACCCTGAGATCAAGAGTTACAATCTCCACTGACTGAGCCAGGCAGGTGGCCCATTTGTTGGGAATCTTTTGACTATTGATTCAATCTCCTTGCTGATAATCAGTCTGTCCAAATTTTCTATTGTTCTGACATCTTGATATCACCTAATTTAGGCCAGGATTGAGTTCAAGTTTAAGTCTCTTCCAGCTGCATGGGTGAACATTAAATAGAATCTCCTGTAAATGCACCCAGCTCAATAAATTGTGTCCAACTCAATGTTACTATCCATCCTCCTTGGTGTAACATCTCTAGAATTCACTCCCACACATATTCTCCCAGCTTTCTGCCAGTATTTACTAACAAAAATCCTGTTATACTTTTGGTGTATAGACTATTATCTCTTGGGTCTTGGTGTGTGCCTGTTCCCCTGGAACTCGCTGAGAGACCCTAGTTATGGGTTCAATGTCACCAGGGGATGGTTGTGGGGGTTCTTGAGGAGAGTGGGTACTCGTTTGTATGAAAGCCCTAAATATTTCTTACTTTTTGTAGCCATAGGGCTCCAGTACTGAAAATCCAGCTCAATTGAATTATGCAGATTCAGAATCCCCAAGTCAGTTGAGTTCCCAGCCTCTCCGCGTTTCTCAGGTGAAAGGCAAGGTGATGGGAAGGAGTGGGGGAAGGGGGGCTCAAAGTGGTGGTGCTTTCAAGCCTGAAGATGCAAACAAACCAATACACAAAGCCCCTTTTTGGGGATAGGATTCCTGACACCACGCCTGTTACCACTTTCTCCATCAGTCTGGATCCTGTGAGGAAGTCAAAACAATGGCAGATCCTTCCCTGGTTCCTTTCAGAGAGAGCACAACTCTGCCGATGACACCTTGATCCTGGCCTCCTGGCCTCCCGAAGTGGGAGACGATACATTTTGGTTGTGTAAGGCTTCTGGTTTGTGGTCCTTCCTCACAGCAGCCCCTGCAGACTCACGAAGCCCTTATGGCTGGAACCACAGGGGTGGGGGTGGAGGTGCAACTCCTCAAACTTAGCAAGAGACGGGGGCAGGGCTCACCTAGTGCCGGGGTCCCTGAGCTCAGAAGAGGGCCCTTGTGGGGCTGGGACCCCAAAGACAGTAGCTTAAGAAGTGGCACACCCACTGTCTGGCTCAGCGCCTCTCCTCCCGGGCACGTATCTCTGAGGAAGGACCGCGAGTACCCACTTGATTCACGATAGCCAGAACTGGAAACCACCTGAATGACTACCAACAGGGACATGGATAAATTGTGTGTGTGCATACAATGGATATTTGTCAGCAGTGACGAGGAGGGAACAGCTGACACAGACGGCCACGTGGGTGATGTCACCGGCCCCATTGTCTCTGGAGCGGGATATTGGATGGGTGGAGGCACGAGGGGGCTTTTCACAGTGATGTAAATGTTCTGCAGTTCCATCTGAGTGGCAGATTCGATCTGAGTGGCAAAGAAGGCGGGTGTCCACTTCATTTCGTGCAAGCTCTCAATAGAGCCATTTTGCAGGAATTTTCAGGGCCGAGAAACTATTCTGTGCGATCCTGTGAAGGTGGATCCCTGTGCTTATACATTTGTCCAAATCCACACGACACCCACCACGGAGAGTGAACCCTGATGCCAGCCGTGGGCCCTGGTTAATGATAACACACCGGTATTGGCTCATCAGGGGTAACAAGTGGCCCACATCCCTGCGGGATGTTAGTAGAAGCGGATACAGCTGAGGAGCAGAGTGAGGAACTCTCTCTAGGAACCCTGCCCTCGGCTCCGTTTCTCTGCAAACCTAAACTTGCTTTGAAACCCAAAGTCCACCGGGGCGCCTGGGTGGCTCAGTTGGTTAAGTGTCCGACTCTCGATTTCAGCTCAGGCTGTGATCTCAAGGTTTATGGGTTTGAGCCCCGCACGCGGACAGTGCACAGCCTGCTTGGAATTCTCCCTCTCTCTCTGTCTCTCCCCTGCTTGCACTGCCTCTGTCTCTCAAAATAAAAATAAACTTAAAAAAAAAAACCCGAAAGTGTATTGATTTTTTTAAAGGAGATATTCGGTTATTGAATACACCGCAAGGGGGGTGGCGAGAGGACAGCAGAGGAGGGGCCGTCTGTCAAGTCCATTAACTTTTTTTAACACCCAGGAAGGCAGCCCCGGGCAGAGGCAGTAGGTCTGCATCGTCAGGACCCGAGGCTCCTTTTATCCCCCAGAGCCCGATAGCTTCCCTTCATCGGTGTAGCATGCCCCCCCCCCCTCCACAGGCCACTGTGGCGATCGTGTCCCAGCGAGGAGCTGGAGTGGGGCAGGGGGCCCAACCTCGAGGTTACCCACGCACCCACATTCCACTGCCCCACCTACTCACAAAAGGGGGGGATGTACCTTGAGCTGAGCACAATTCTATTGTTATGTAAAAATAAGCACAGACACTGGGGACGAGAAACAGAACCCGATTGCTACCCTTGGAGATTAGGCGGGACGATGAGTGTAGAGTCAAGAGAAGCAGAGAAACGGGGCAAGAACCGCGGGGTGTTGTTACTGACTGAAGCTATTACGGCACCATTGGTCTGCTCCCGGGACTGGTCAACAGAGACAGAAAAATCAGAGATGCAGAAAAGAGAGCAATCCCCGAGCGGGTCACGGAGGGTGGGACCCGGTGCCCAGGCGCAGGGACTGACCTCAGCGAACTGCACCTCGCCCACGGGGCCGGGACAGCAAAGGGTTTGGGTCCAGGCCTTGGGGGACTGGGCCGTGGAAAGCCGGGAATTTTGGGGAGAAATTCTGATGCTTTCTGTGCTCGGTTACACATGAAACAAAGGCTGCTACTGAGATGTGAGGCAGGCAAGAGTTCACCGTGGAGAGCCCGGGGTGGGGGTGGGGGGTGGCGGTGAAGGGCAGACGGACTCAGAAATTCCCAAAGCAGGCTGGCCACGCCCGCGGGCCCACTGAAGGCTCGCCTTCATTTAAAGTGTGTTTTACTAGGGGCGCCTGGGGAGGGATGGGGGGTTCAGTCGGTTAAGCCTCGACTTTGGCTCAGGTCATGATCTCACCGTTCGCAAGTTCGAGCCCTGCATCGGCGCTCTGTGCCGACAGCTCACAGCCCGGAACCTGATTCGGGTTCGGGCTCCCTCTCTCGCTGCCCCTTCCCCACGCATGCTCTGTCTCTCAAAAATTAATAAACATTAAAAACATAAATAAAGCGTGTTTTACTGGGCGCTGGCGCTGCGGCAGGGAGCCGGGCGGGTGCTCACAGGGGTGCGGGGCAGGGCCCGGTGGGGTAGAGGCCGGGAATGGGCCGGCAGGTGGTCCCGGCTGCCCTGCTTGGCTCTGGCACCTACTGGTCGGTGTGGGACACGGCCAGGGGGCATCGTGCTCAGTAAAAGGACAACAGTTTATCTTCATGTGCAGGTTTTTATTTGCCTGTCATAATTCTGATATTTATGTACATATATATATATATTTCTGTTGTTTTTTGTAAAGGGCTCATCAACAGACCAAGCAAAGGCATAGAGGGACACCTTGCCTGCCAGGCAGGAGCACAGCAGAGCTGGGAGAACCAATCTTTCCTTTTTCCTTTTTTTTTTTTTTTTTGTCTGTTTTTATTTTTCCTAGGATGGGATCATCAAAGCTAATTGCTATAAAACCTAGAAACCACCTAGAGACTCAGACATCTGCCTACACACTAGTGGCATATGGGGGAAGGCAAGGGCACAAACTTTCAAAGTCACGGTGTATTTACATTCCCAAGGTTGAGGGGCGGGGGAAGCTGAGCACGGGACCTACTCAGACAGGGGCTGGGCGGGGTGGCTAAAGGGTTCTGGGCTGCAGGCGGTGGCAGGGGCAGTGGGGGGGGTGTGCCCGCCCCACACCCTGGCAGTGACAGAGGCCACTTGGATGCTGTCTGGTGGGCACCGAAGGCAGCGTGTGTATAGAACTCCTGGAAGCCGGCCGCGGGGCGGGGTGGGCGGTGGGAGGAAGGTGCCGATGAGAGTGACACCGGCAGGTGGGGACTCTGGGCTCTCCAGATGGCCTCCTCTGCACCCGTGGTCAGCTTGCCCAGCTCCCATCCTGGTTGGAGCAGATGGTGGGGACGCCGAGTTCTGTCCCCGGTCCCAGCCAGGCTGTGTGAAGAGCGGCCAGCCCTACTTCCTCTCTGTCCAGCCACGGCCTCTCTCTGCCCAAAGGCTGATGAGGCAGCACCTGAAGGCTCCCGATGTGTGGGTGACTGGCCCCTGGGCTGGAACAAAGCGGTGTGTGCCCAAGAAGGGGTGTGGCTGGGTTTTGGCAATAAAGTGGGGACCGGGTAGTCAGAGGGGGATCAGAGGCAGTGAGTTCCTCTCCTCTGCCCCAAACTTCAAGCCTCCCACAGGCCCGAGGTCAGAGCGGGGGGCCGAGGCCTGGTAGAGAGTGGAAGGAGCCTCCGTCCCAAGGTCAGCACGGGTGTCGGGCTTGGGAGCCTTGGCCTCTGACTCCCGTGTGGCCAGCCCCAGGCTCTGCCCTGTCTGGCCTTGCCTGGCTGGAACCTGCTACTCTAGGGTCCCGGCAGGGTTGATGGGGGAGGCGGCCCCCGAGCTGTCATTGCCTCCCGCGGCTTCCTTCTCCTTCTTGCCGCTGTACTGGCCGATGAAGGAGCCGTCCTCATTGAACTGGACGTCCACGCTGCCCCCGTAGTCGGCCAAGCTGTCATCACTGCCCAGGGGCTTGATGTCTCCATTGAGGGATGGCTGGCTGCTGCCAAAGGCCTTCTCCTCATTGTCACTGTGGGGGCAGAGGGCAGGCAGGAGTGGGAGGCTGCCCGCCAGAGCCCGGCAGGAGCCGGCAGGTGCTAGCCCGAGGGAGGAGGCCTGGCCCAGGGTCCACCTGCCTTCCATGCGCTCTGAATGCACTGGGGCAAGGGTCCTCATCCCTGACACATACCGGGGGTGGGGGTGGGGATGGGGGGGCAGGTGACACGCACAGCGCCAGAGGGGCAAGGCCCAGGCCTGCCCAGGATGCTGGGGGACGCGAGGAAACAAGCGGGCGCTCGGCCTGTAGGTGAGCCGGACGGGGGCGCCAGTCCAGCTGGCAGCCCTTCCACAGCCCAGAGGGGGGAAGCTGGGGAGGTGACAGGTAGGCCCAGAAACTGAGCGTCGGCATGGGGACAAACTGGGGCGTGTTGGCTTCTCCCAAAAACAGGGAGCTGCGGGGTCAGAGGGCTGGGGGCGTGCGGAGCCCCGGCAAGTGGGGGCCGATGGCACTCCCAGGCACACGGTCCGCAGGAGGGCCCCGGCTATCAGGCTCTGACAGTGTCTTCCCACCGCCCCTGTCTTACCTCTCCAGGGACCTGACATCACCCAGCGGCACAGAGAAGAGAGAGAGACAGGGTCAGATATAAGGGCGAGAGCAGTGCTGGGCAGCTGGCCAGCACCTGCTCTTACCCCCAGCTCACCTGTACTCGCCGAAGGTCTCGTCCTTCATCGGCCGGGCCTCAGAGTCCACCTGGGTGTCCTCCTTATCCTTCACTGGAGACACAGAGAAGGCCCGGCTATCCCTCCCACCCCCGCCGGACCCCGGACATCGGGCCCCATCCCCGGCTTGGGGACACGGGCGAGGCTTGCCCCCTGTGCTCCGAGGGCCCCGGGGACTCTCTCGGCAGCGCTCAGAAGCCAGGAAGTCTTCGACGTGGACCACTCACCCCACGTGGGCCTGGCTGCCGTTTGCTGCTGGTCTGCGCAGAAGCTCCCTCTGGGCCCCCCGCCTGCCCCCGACATGCCCATGCCGTCCTGCCGGAGGCTTGGGGACCGGGGGTGGGGGTCATGTACCCGCTCTACCGCCCTCACCTGAGCCCCAGGCCGGGGCTTACCTGAGTATTTGCCACCCTTGCTGCGCTTGATGAAGCAGAGGATGAGCAAGACGAGGACCAAGAGGATGATGGCGCTGATGAAGCCGATGAACCAGCCCTCGGTGGCGAAGCCAGCGGGAGGGAGTCTCACGCGGCCTGTGGGCAGATCGGGAAGACACGGAACCCGGCCCCAGGTGAGACACCCACTCCCAGCCCCTCTGCGTCGGGAACTGGCCGGGGCTGGGGGAGGACCAGGCCGGCAAACACCACAGGGGCGGGAGGGGACCGAAGCATGCTTGAAGCTGGCTGGTTGGGGAAGCCCTCTGGGGGGAGGGGGGACAGGGGGCACGGAGATTCCGGGAGGAGGAGTGGGGGCGTGGCACGGGGCCGGGGCGGAGGGACGCGTCACCGGTGCCATTGGTCTTCACGGCCATCTTTAGGAGCACCCTCTCCTTGAGCAGGTGGATCTCATAGTCTGTGTCGGGCTGCAGGTCCCACTGCGTGTAGGAGCTCTGGTTGTAGCTGACGTACTGCGGTGGCAGATGAGGGCCCGTCTTCTCGTCTGCAGGGGCGACAGGGCAGCAGAGGTGAGCAGGAGTGCCGTGCGGCGCCCTGGTTCCACACCACCCCCGGGGGGCCTTTTGTGCTCACCTCCCAGGGCTTTGAACCAGATCTGGAACCCAAAGTTGCACTGGCCCTCCTTGGGGACCCAGGAGACCACGCTGTAATTCTCGCCAGCCATGGCCGAGATGTTGCCAAAATCCGGGGTCCCTGGGGAGCAAGAGGGCGTTGTGGGACCTCGAGGCAGCCCAAGGCTGGCCATCCTGGGCCTGGCTGTCCGGCGGGGCCTTCTCAGCCCCCTCCAGCTCACCAGATAAGGCCATGGTGCCTCCTTCCCGCACGATGGCCTCTCCAGGGCCCTCTTTCGTGGTGGCTTGCAGCTGGAAACGGTACCGCAGGTGCGGGCTAAGGTTGGTCAGGTTGTGCATCCGCAGCTCAGGGTCCGGAAGGTCAAAGGACAGCTGCTCCTTGTCCCCATCATCCACTGCAAGGACAGACGGGGAGTTGGCCGTGACCTCCAGCTCCGCCCGCCCCCCAGCCGCCCTCTACTTGTCGGCCGAGCCCGGCCGGGACGACGCACGTACACGGGTGGTAAGAGAGCACGTAGCCAGTGAGCACGCCGTTGTGGCTGAGCGGGGGCTGCCAGTGCAGCAGCAGGCTGGTGTCCGACTGGCACTCCACGTGCAATGCCTCAGGGTGGCCAGGCACTGTGGAGCACAGACACGGTGGCAGGTCCTTGCCCGGCCAGCCCTGGGGGGGGCGGCGGGGACAGGGCCGTGGGCTGCAAAGCTCACCTCCTTCTGGGGTGCTGAAGGTCATCTCGCTGGCAGGCCCCAGTCCTCGGCCGTTAAAGGCCTGCACCTCCAGATGATAGGAGCTGTAGGGCCGCAGGCCTCCCAGGACGGCGCTGGTGGTGTTGGCGGGCACCACCACGTGCCCTTTGTGGACATGCCTCTTGCTGTGCTTCCTCTGACTGCCCTCCCACCAGTACGTCACCTGCAGGTGGACGGGAGGCCCCGTAGGGACGGAAGGTGTCCAGCAGGGCAGACCCCCTCCCCGCTCCGGTGCAGGCTTCCCACTGCCCTGAATGGAGAACCTTTCCTCCTACCCTGATGACTCTAGGACAGCAGGTGGCAGAGGCCCGCCCCAAAGCCTGCCACTCCCGGTGGCCTCGCACCTCACCCTGGGAATCCCCTTGCCCCCACGCCTTGAACCCTTACATTGTATCCCCGAAGGTGGCCCTTGACCTGGGCTGGGTCCACGGGCCACCATCTGACCAGCACGGCACTCGAGTTAAGGATCTTGATGCCTTCCAGCTCGGGGCTTGCCTCGGGGTCTGGAAACAGCCGGTGGCATGGATGAGGGCCTGTGGCCTCCGGAGGCCAGCCCAGAACCCTCCCACAGAAGGGAGATAGATTTGGATGCTACGTGGGGGGCGGGCCGTTTGATGAGCACGGTGTGTGCACAGTGCCGGGGTCTCTCCTTGCATACTGTTTGTCGGTTCCAAGGGCAAAAATAGTACACAAAGGAGTAACCAGGAAGGATCTTGACCAGGTGATCAAAACTAACATCTCGTAATGTTCCAGATGCAGGGAAAAGAAAGAAGCAGGACAACCAGACTTGATGGGGGATCTGGGACTGGACCCCGGACCGGGGGGAAAAGACAGCACTAATTGATACAATTGGAATATCGGCTGCCAACTACTAGGTAAATACAGTGGTAAATCAACAGTAAATGTGCTGTCAGGATGGCACTTTGGTTATGGAAAAAAACGTCCTTACTCCTAGGATATGCTCTATGGAGAGCCCCGGCGTGGAGGGAGGAGTGTGGGCCATCTGTGCGCATTCGGGGCTCCACCCCCCCATGGGCGGGGCCAGCCCAATACCCACCCCGCCATGGGCGGGGCCAGCCCAATACTCACAGTCTTCCCCAGAGTAGCCAATGGTAATCTGGGGCTCAGGGCCTTTGCCCTGGCTGTTGACAGCCTGGACCTTGATCTCATAAGGCACAAAGGTGGACGTGTTGGACACAACCAGGAAGGGGTCGCTCACGATCTGCTCCTGCCAGGCACCCCGCGTCCCCTGGGGGCGCCACTGGACGCGGTACTGAACCTGGGGGGCGTTCCAGTCCATCCACCTAAGCGGCTGGAGGAGGAGGAGCACCAGAGGAGCTGGTGGGCCAAGAGCACTCGCCTCCTTTGACCCCCTCCCGAGCCCAGCCATGAGCCCAGCCTCATGTCCCGTCATCTTCTGGTCCTCAGCACAGCCAGGGGTCACGGCCAACACCTGGTCCTGGCCTGATGCCCCAGGCCACGCTCAGCCCGACGGGGAGGAGGGGCGCCCTCACCTTCCAAGTGATGACCATGTTGCTGGTCTCATTCCCTTCCCCCTTCACGTCCACAGGGTTCTTCTCTGGGGCTGGAAAATAATGTGTTAACACATCAAAGCCATGGGCTCCTGCCGAGGCTGCGAAGGCCAAGGACCAAGGAAGGAACGGCCCTTTCCGGCCCTGGGAGCCGGGAGCCAGCAGTTCTGGGGGAACCTCCCACCTCGCACTGGAAACCTAGAAGCACAGGGGCTTGGGCACAGTCACCTCTCTAGGCCTTCCTTGCAGGAGCCCAGGGGCCCTGGAGTTGGAGGCGCCCCTCCCAGGTGGCTCACCTGCCTCAGGCGTGACCACAGTCTCAGAGGCCGGGCTGGGCTCTCCAGAGCCATACTTGTTGATGGCAGTAACTCTAAAGGTGTAGTGGACATAGGGCGACAGCTTGAGGGTGGTGGAGGTCTGGTTCCCGGGCACCTTGCCCAGACTATACCATTTCTCAGGCGCCATCTCCTTGTCCTCAAATTCAATGTCATACTCTACCAAGAAGCGAGCCGGCAATTAGGCGTGTGGCATAGAGGGGAGGGCTACATGGAGCTGTAAGTCCGGGTCTCCCTGAGGAGGGGGGGGAGCACCCAAGGCAACAGGCATTCTCAGAGTTCCAGGAGGAACTGTGAGCCCCAAACCCAGGTGCTTGCCCCGTGGGGTGGGCGGTCCTGGAGCCTTGGGCCCGGGAGGACGGAGGTCCCGCAAGGAGGGCAGGCTACCCGGGGTGGCCATGGGGAGGTGGGTGGCGCCACGCTCAGGCCTCTTACTCTCGATGGGGGCGTTGTGGTCCTCGGCGGGTCTCCAAGACAGGCGCACCTGGCTCTGCTTCAGCAGGTGGCGGTCAGACAGCTCCAGCTGAGGCACCGGCCCGGGGCTCCCTGAGGGCCACGGAGGGTGGGTTCTCTGGCCCATACGCCAGCTGACCACCCCCCTCCCCAGCTTGAGAAGGCCCTGCAACGTGACCCCGGGCTCTTGTGCCCAGAGGCCCGTGCCCCCCACGCCTTTGGGTCGGGAGCCCGACACTATCCTAGGACTCACCCACCACCAGGAGCTCGGCCCTGCTCTCCACTATGTCCAGCTCGGTGCCAGCCACGCAGCTATAGTTGCCCTGGTCACTGTAGTCCAGGCTGTGGATGACCAGGAGCCCGTCCTCTATGAAGTACCTGGTGGGGAGAGGGCGCGCGCTTGTCCTTTTGTTCTGCTGCCCCCCTCCCCCTCTTGCCAGAACCTTCCTGCTCAAAGCAGGGGTGCTTCCCAACGGATGAGGCCAAGAGGTCTGGACATCCTGCCCTCCCCACTCTGCCCCCTTCCACCAGGCCCGGGTTGGGGCTGGGCCCGCACTTGTCATCGTCCCCAGACTCCTGCAGGTTCCGACCGTCCCCTCGCCAGGTGATGCTGTGCTGCAGGGAGGGGTCAAAGGAGGCCTGGCACGTGAATGTCACTTTTGAGCCTTTCTTCTCGATGGCACTCTGCGGCCCCTGTGTGATCTGAGTGGCATCTGGGGGCAATGATGGAAAGGGAGGGTCAGTCCAGTGTCCTCCAGAGACCATAACCCTTCCTCCTGGAGGAGCTGTTGATCACATCAGTCGGGGGCAAGGGGGGGGAGGGGGTATCATCTGACCTTTGACCTGCAGGTTAGCCACAATGGTCACATTGTTTTGGTCGTTGGCAGCCTGGCAGAAGTAGTGGCCAGTGTCGTTGGTCTGGAGGTCCCGGATGCCCAGGGTCCCGTTGGTGTAGGGGAAGAAGCGTTCATCCTGTAGCACGGTCTTCCCTTCCTTGTCTAGCCTAGTGTGAGCAGAGCAGGCCTGGCTCAGACCCCACCGGGCTGGGCTCCCCGCCCTCCCCAGCTCCCTGGGCCAGAATATGGCTTAGAGGCGCCCCCTTCCGGGAGGGTCACTCACCACTGGACGCTGGGCACAGGGGCTCCAAAGGCCTTGCACAGGAGATAGGCGGTGCTGCCCTCCACCGCCATGTATGTCTCGTTGTCTGGGGTCAGGATCTTGGCCGGAAGCTCTGGGGGAGAAGTAGTTACAGGGGACGGGGCAGGACTCAGGGTGGGGCGAGGGCCCGTGAGCATCCAGGGCAGGCGCGGGGTTCAGCAGGGCAACCTCTCCCAAGAGGGCCCTTGGGTGCTTCCCTGCACCCTATTCCCACCCCTGCCAGACTGAGCCTCTGCCTTCCAGCGTGCCTCAGAGGCGCCTCCCATCCCAAGCATCCAAGTTTTACCAATTACTTGAGCCCCACTGACAGTCGACCTCTTCCTGAAAGCCTTCCTGGCCCACCTTTGTCTTCCCTGAGGCTCCGGGAGAGGAGCCACCAGGCTGGCCTCGGGCACATCCTGGCCAGGGTGAGCCTCCGCTCAGTGACACCTGCTCAGTGACACGCGGTGGGCCAGAGCAGTCTCTAAAACTGCTTTTTCATCTGTAAATGGTGGCGAGACCCCGCCCTTCCTCCACAGCACTCCCCCCCCCCCGCCGCCCCGCCCCAGTCCCCCCGGCCGCCCCAAGCCACCGCTATTGATGGGGGTGGGCGAGACATGGGGTGGAGGGCCCCAGTGAGGAGAAAAGCAGCTGCTGGCCGAGTCAGTCTGGTGGCCTTGCCTGGTGGGCTGCGGGGACAGGTGGGTTACTCACGAACGACATAGATGTAGGCATTGGCCAGCAGCAGCCCGTGCCGGTTTCGGGCCTCACACTGGGTCACCATCGTGTCGCTGGGCTGCATGTTGCTCAGGATCAATGCTCCACGCTGGATGCGGTACTTCTGGTCCTTGGCCAGCTCTGCGTGAGCAGCAGGCGGGCGCCGAGGCCCAGGGCGGAGCAGTGAGGCACAGCGAGGCTCCTCGTCACCCTCCCCTTCCTCCCCGGGGCCCCCCAAGCTCCCTGCCCCTGTTCGAGGCCCCGCTCACCCTCCACGGGAATGCCATTGATTCTCCAGGTGACCTCGGGCTGGGGCCTCCCTTGCACTTGGCAATCCAGGCGGGCAGTCTCTCCAGGCCCATACAAATGGCTCTGGGGCTTGTGTAGCCAGTAGGGGGCAGCTGCGAGAGGTGGCGAGCTGCCCTGAGCAGGGGGGGCCGGCGGCCAGCTCTGGCCCCAGACCCAGACCCAGCCCACCCCCTGTGACAGTGGGCACTGCACACTGCCGTCCCTGGAGGTCACTCCTGGGAGGCCACGCGACCCAGGAGAGGCACCATACCCTCCACAGTGACGTAGTAGGTGTGCCGGTCGCTGCCCAGCGAGTTCTCGGCCAGGCACCGATACTCGCCGTCGTCCTCCTCCACCACGTTCAGCAGCTGCAGGGTCTTGTTGTGGTTCTGGTAGGTGACTCGGTCGGCCGGCATGGGGCCACTTGGGCGCAGCCACTTGATGGTGGGTGTGGGGCTGTCCAGGGCCACGGTGGAGGGAGGCCGAGGGAGGGGAGCACAGTGGAAGAGAGAGCGCAAGCCTGCTCAGCCCCGGCCCGTGACAGAGGTCTGCTCGTGCCTGCCCACCCCCACCCGGGGCACCCAGACTCACAAGCCCTCAGCGATGCACTCCAGGACCAACGGCTGCCCCTGCAAGGCCACCAGGTGGCTGCTGGAGTTGGTGGGGAAGAGTAGGCGTGGCTTCCTGTCGATCATGCTGTTGGCTGGGAGGAGAAAAGGGGTGGGTGGCACGGCCCACCCCACCCTCCACCCACGGAGTTACCAGGCCAGGTGGATGCCCCTGTGAGGCCCTAGGGCCTCTGTTTCCTCCTCTGTTAAAGGGAGGGCCCCTTCTCTGTTCTCGCCTCCTGGGAAGGGGTCCGAACAGAGGCGAAGTGGGAGCCAAGCCATCCTGGAGGAAGACCAAGGTCGCCTGATCTTTGGGATGGGCCGTGCCAGAGCGTGAGACAGCAGGTGAGGAGGAGGGTGTATCAGAGTCTTAGGGACTCACTGGCCTTGACCCGGAGGTCAATGGGCTCCTTCTGGATGATGGTCCGGGTGCCAGGGAAGTGGGCGTGGCAGATGTAGTCCGAGTGGTTGTCCGACGTGAGCACGTTGGCAAAGTAGAGATTGCCGTTCTGGCCCATCGTCACCCGCTCATCCTGTTTGATGTGCAAGATCTCTGTGGGGGCAGGTGGGGGGCAAGGAGGCGAAGGTCAGGCCCCCGTCCGGGAAGCTGTACCCACTGACACCTCCACCCCAGGCGGCAGCCGCTCGTGGGCACCCACTGCTATTCATCCAGTAGATCCGGAGCGGCTCTGCGCTGGGCGGCGGGTGGCAGGGCAAAATCACCGATTCCCCTTCCTCCACCTCCACAGGTTTCACCGTCTCCTTCGGCCACTTGGGGGCACCTAGAAGGGACAGAGAGAGGCTGGCACTGTGGGGCCCAACTCTCCTCCCGGTCAAGGCAGGGCAGGGCAGGGGAAAGGAGGAGGGACGGCCAAGAGGGTGAGAGGGCCAGGTGGCGAGGAAGTTCACACGGTGGGAGGCAGAGACTCGGGGTCCTTTCCGGGCTCCCCACGCCGCACGCAGAGGACCAGATGGCTGTGAGGGGCCAACCCTTCACAATGCTTAGCTCCCACCCAGAGGCCTAAGATGGTTGGGGGGCGGGGGGGAGGCTGCGGTGCAGCAGTGGGGGAGGGGAGCTGCGGAAGGATGTGGGAGTCACAGACCCTTCCATCATCCTGACACAGAAACCATGGCAACGGTTCCCAAGGTAACCCGCGGGGTGGAGAGGAGAGAGGAGCATGCTCAGGAGGCAGAAAGCTCAGGGAGGACGGAATGCAGAGGGAAAACCCCAGGGACAGGGTGACACAGATAACGACGGAGCTGGCTGGCGGGCAGAAAGGAGGGAGACTGAGGAGGAGCCGGGTCGGAGGTGGAGGGAGGAGGGGAGAGCAGAGGAGAGAGGCCACAGAGTGACGGGCGCAGCGGAGAGAGACGGCCCAGGGTGGGGCAGGAGATGGGGCCGCGGAGGCACGGAGGGGGCAGTGGGTCACACGGAGGCAGAGCAGGCCCGAGGGAGAGCGAGGCAGGTCAGCAAGGCCGAGGTGGGGCAAAGCCCAGAGGCAGAAACCAGGGAAGGGGAGACGGAGGGGACCAGGAAGGCAGCGCGGAAAGGGACAAAGCAAAGAAGCAGGAGGACCCTGCCGGGGAGTGAAGGGGGAAGGCGGCGGGCGGCCGGCGGAGCAGCCGGTGTCTTCTGCCCGCTAAACCAGCAGCTGGGGGCGCGTGGCCACCCCCGGCCCGGACCCCCACACACGCTCCCTGAGACCTGTTCGGGGACCCTCTCGTGTACCCCCAGGCCCTCCCAGGCCCCTGCGGTGCCTCGCACCCTCAGCCATGAGCTGGATCTCGTGAGACATGGCGGTGCCCAGCTTATTGCTGGCAAAGCAGCGGTAGGTGCCCTGGAACCTCTGGGCGAAGTTGCTGTTGTTGCCCGCGATGGTGAAGGAGCCGGAATGGGGCGCCTGGTGCACGGTCACACCCGCTTCCTCCTTGGGTTTGAAGTGGACGCCGTCCCGAGTCCAGCGGAACCTGTGGGCAGAAAAGGGCTCAGAGGCCGAAGGCCCTGGAACCCAGGACAGGGGCTGGCACAGGCTGGAGGCCACGGTGCGAGCAGCCAGGGGCCCCGGGGACGGGCCGTGCAGGGCAAGGACCAGGGGACACGAGAGAGATCCGGGGCATCCGGGCGCAGAAGCTGGGCGGCCCTGGGAGGCAAGAGGACTAGAAGCTGAGGTCAGCAGTGAACAACGGGGCTTAGAAGGTGATGGTCACTCACTGCACTTCAGGTCTGCCGCTGGCCTCGCACTTGAGGCTGATGTCGTCTGTGGGGAAGACAACCAGGCGCCGTGGAGACTGTTCGGTGATGACAGGTGGTTCCATCACTGGGGACAGGATAGGGAAGAGGTGGTGAGGATGGGGTCTGGCTGGCTTCACGGCCTCGACCCCCGTCCCACTGGGAGGGAAGGCACGGTCTGAAACCCTCAGAGGCCCCAAGGCCGCGGAGGTGGGGGGGCAAGGAAGAACGAGCTAGAAACAACCCGGCTGGGCCACAGGCGGGTGGGCCATGAAAAGAGGGAGAGAAAGGGACACGGCACAAAGGTAGAAAGGGACAGAACAGAGAGGACAGCCACAAAAAGTACAAAGAAAGACATCTGAGGGAGAGATGAAGCCAGAGACAGAAACCAGGAAGTCACGGGGACAGAGGGAGCAGAGAGGACGCAGTGGCGACGAGAAGCAGGAGAGGGTACAAGAAAACCCAGGCCAGGGCAGAGACAGAACAAAGATGGCCCACGGGTGAGACAGCGGGACGAGGACCCAAGAGCCGGAAAAGGCAGCGACCCGCACAGGGCACAGGGCTCACAGAAGTGGAGCATGTACAGCAGGGGGACTCGCTGGCACCCCTCTTCCCCGCCCCTCCCGCCCCGGTCCTGGGAAACACTCCCCCCCCTCCCCCGACTTACCACGGTATCCTTCATCTAAGAAGTCCGGGCAGCAAGGGAGAGAGCGGAGAGAAATGCTGACACTTGCAGACCCCCTGGGGAAGGGGACGGAGGGAAAGGGGGCTACGGGTGGTGTCATACGGGGGGGCACAGGCCAGGCTGGGGTTGTGGGGCAGAGCAAGGCCCAGAAGGACAGGACGGTCTCGGGGTGGGCTAGGCTGCGGCCCCAGCACACAGGGAGAAATTCCTGCCTTTAACAAGGAATGCCCTCTGGACAGACGCTTGCATCCGGCGGGGGGCGGAGGCGCAGAACTGACCCCCCTCCCCCCCAGAAGGTGGGGAGGCAGGCAGCCCAGCATCCAGGGCACCCTCCCCCGCTCCAGCCCACTTCCCTCCTAATCCAATTAGCACAGCTCAGTGTTTTCAATTACCCAGGCCCAGCCTTCAGAGCCCGGCTGCCCCCGCTCTCCCCACCCCACCCCCCCCCCCAGCCCTGCGAAACCCTCCCAAAGGCCTGGCTGCATCCGAGTTTCCATTGCCTGCAGGGCTGACTCCAGTCTTTTCTTTCTCCCCTTCCTTCCTCCCGGGCAACGGCCAGCAAGTTGCCCGGGGCTGAGGCCAGAGCTGCTGCTTCCCTGCCACAGGACTCGGGCCCAGCACCAGCCAGGGCGGCTGTGAGGAGGGGAGAGGAGGCGGGGTGGCAGGACGGGGAAGGCAGGAGTGCACAGCCTCTGAAAGCTTTGTCTCTGCAGAAGACCTCAGTCGCGGGTCCCCTGGAGAGAGGAGGAGGCTCCCGGGGGACACTGCAGAGGGAGCCGGGGCTGGGGAGGGGCCAGTACAGGCAGCCTAGAGCAAGAGACAGTGACCGGGATGGAGAAAGTCGCCTGGGTGGAGGAAGACGGGGAAAGAGACAAAGGGGCCCAGGGGCAGGGAGAGAGACAGCTCTAGCTGGAGGGCAGGTTCCTACAGGGCAGCACCGGGTGCCCAGAGCGGCCCACTTCTCTCTTTCTCCAAACTCTCCCTGCCCCTCCCTCCACAGATGGACACACCCGGCCAGACGGCCCCGTCGCTGTGGCAGCAGGGCAGGCCAGGCGGGTGCCCAGGGTGAGGCCTGAAAAGCGACCAAGAGGAGACGGAGGGGAAGGAGGACGAGCACATGTGTGTGAGTCCAGGCACACATGTGAATGCTCGGGAGTGTACCGCGCGCAGAACGTTTGTGTGTGAGTGTGTTTGCATATGGGTGTGTCTTGACAGAGTACATCTGAAGGCCGTGCGCGTGCCTCCGTTCAGTACTGTACACCTGCCTCTGTGTGTACGGATGACTCTGTTCCTTTGTGTCTAAATCCCTCGCTTGTGTGTGTGTGCGTGTGTGTGTGTGTGTGCCTCCTATGCATCTTCTCCGGGGGCTCTGCCCCGTCTGTATATCTGTGCCTGGTTGGATACAGGTGGCTCGTCTGTGTCTACCCACGTGTGCATCTATGTCCATCTGCCACAGGGAATCGGCACAGGCACGACTGCACGTACCTCCGTGTGCATATCCCAGGGGACATCCCCACCCTTTGTCCCATCCGTCCCTCTCCACCTCCTCCAAACCCTCGGCTGCCTCCCCCCAGCACCAGGTGTCCTCCAAGCCCGCCTCCCTCGGCCCCTACCCCATTCCTGGCATAGACAGTGTTCCCCAGCGCCAGCCCCCGGCCCATCTTTCAGGGACACTGGCCTCCCCCAGGTCCGGGCTCAGAGACAAAGGTGGCAAGGTGAGGGAGAAAGGACTGGAGCCACCAAGGAGTAGGCTCGAGATACACAAATGCTGCTGCCCTGCGAGATGCCCCTCACACAAGCCCAACAGCCACTCACAGCAGTGTGTTTACACTTCCTGCTCACACTGGGGAGAACACATCATCACGGTGACACAGACTCCACACGCAAATGGGTACTCACAGACGGCCCCAGCTCACATGCACACACGACCCACTATAATCAAATGCTAACAAACACCTGCAGACCTTCACAGACCTGACCAACAAGTAACAGTTACAGCGACTCACAAACTTATCCATGTAGGAAATCAAAATCACACTCAATAGCCGCACCTAGTCGATCACAACCACACACATCCACACACACCAAATATACTGTCTGTGCGACTCACAAGCATACACAAATACTCATGTTTTGTCACAAGCCCCCAGTCATACTCCCTAACACCCGCACACCTACCCACGACCCTCCACGGACGGAAAGCTCCAGCAGTCTCGCCCCTTCAGCCCCACCCAATCGTCAGGATTTACAAAACTGCCGGGCCTTTGTAAGGTGTCTTGTCCTGTGGCAGTTCACACACAGAGCTACCAGAGGCCGAAGATGAGATTACTCAGGTCAGAAACAGGGCAAAACTTGAATCCAGGCCTTTGCACAAGCTAGCCCAGGACTGGGGGCCGGCCCCGTTCTCCTGCCCGCCACAACACCGGGGGAGGGTGGGGGAGAGCGGGCCAAGGGAGAGCACCGAGGGGGCCCTTCCGGCGCCGAGCCCGCTGTCCGTGGTCCTGAAACCGCCCTCCCCCGCCCGCGCCGGTCCCCTGTCCGTGGTGCTGACACACCCCGCGTCTTCCACCCTGTCCTTCTCTCCAGAGGTCCGGGGTACCTCCTGTCCACTCTGTACCCAGGAAAGTAGAGGGGAGGGTCCAGAGCCGGCAGAAGGTGAGGAGGCAGAAGATAAAAGAGGAGCCCAGCGCGGCGGCGAAGGGAGGCGTCAAGGCTCCCTCCAGCTACTCACATTCCTCGGGGATCTGGATGAGCAGGCAGGGGCTGCACAGAAGGAGAGGCCACAAGTACCGCAGCGACACGGCCATCTTCCCGGCGGCGCCGGCGGCTCGGCACGGCACAGCCGGCCGGGCTCGGCTCAGGCTCCGGCCGGAGGGAAGGGGGCTGGTGGGCGGCTTGGGGCGGGAGCCAGGGGTGGGGGCACTGGGAGAGGGAAGGAGGGAAAGGAAGGGTGGGGGAGGAGAGAGGAGAGAACGGACGACTTTAGTGACTAACATCTGGGCGAGCCCGGGCTCCTGGCCCCGCCCTCCGCCCCGCCCCCAGTGGGCCAGCTCCCCCATCCCGCCCTCCCCCGCACCTTGGAGGGAGAAACCTAGAAGTCTTAGCACTGGTTAGGCCTCCAGGTTGCCTTTCATTCCCTTTCTCCTCTCCGTCTGTGCTTCCACACCAGCTGCCTCTTCAGCATCAACTTGTTGCCCCAATCAGCTCCCCTGGGCATGCCACAGGCCACTCTGTGCATGAGTGTGGATGTGGATGGGCATGTAGCCAAATATACACATTAGTATTTATGTGGCTGTGCGTGTGCATGCAGGAGCACATTTGTATATGTCTTTTCTGGAAAGGGGGTGTGTGTCTGCAAGAATCAACGCATGGGTCTAGATAGCTGCATGTGCACACGAGAGCATGTGTGTGTCTTCTTGTGTGTCTGTACCTCTGGGGGATGAATCCTCGTGTCTGCTATCTCTGTGTGTGCACACAAGCATGAGTGCACGTGTATGTAGAGAAGAACTCTCGTCGGTCTCATTGCTGTGGGTTTCAGAGCCAACTGATCTCTGGGTGGTGTTCAGGCCTACAAAGCTGGTGGGGGACAGGGAGGTCTTGGGAAGTGGGGACTGGGAAGGGAGGAAAGGGGCCCGGGAGGGTGGCATTTCACAGAACAGGTTGAGGAAATGGAAGAAGGGGGAAGGAAGCCTGACCTCAAGATGTGGCAGGAGGAGGGGAAGTAGGAGAACACCTCTCTGCTGTCCCTCATGCCCCTGGGGGGGGGGGGAGGCAATAGAGGTGACTGTGGCCTCTCCCCTTCCAGATGCTCCAAGCCAGGGTCAGGAGGAGCTCTGAGACAGTGTTTCTGTCACCTCTCATGTGTCTGGCAGGCCCGGGTCTTTTTCTGAGTCTTCAGGGCTCAACTGCTAGATGTGTTCACCCCAGCCCAAGTGACACCAGCCATACCCACATTCTCCCTGCATGCAAGAAGCCCTGAAGACCGGAGGCCCAGGGAAGCTGGGGGGGGGGGGGGGGGAGGGCGGGGATTCTCTGCCATGACTACAAGAGGAAACACACTCCCAAGAAGACAGCTGTCTTTGACTCCAAACAGGAAGGGGTGTGAGAAAGAGGCAAGGAGAGAAAGTGCAGGTGGGGTAAGAGTAGGTTGCTGGTTGACAGCTTGGAGGCTGGAGCTGGGGTCTGGATGCACTCTCCAAGACCATACTGGACATCTTCATTGTGCCCAGCCAACACCTTATCAAAGGGGGACGAGGCCTCATCCAGAATGCTGAAGGGGAGGGGAGGGAGGCCTGGAATGCCATGCTAAGGCATCTAGACTCTGTCAGGAAGGGACTAGGAGACATAAATTGGTTTAGTGTAAGGGGACCCGACAAGAGTGGGGAGTTCAATAGACTGCCTGGGGGCTCAGTCGGGGAAATGGATGGTGGTGAACAGCTGGAGGGGGAGGGGGAGAAGCACCAGGACAGGTCAACATGGATGGGCTGAAGGCCAAGAGAAGGACTCAGAGGGCAGGAAGTGGCGAACGCGAGGCCAGTTCCCAACTTGCAAGAACTGAGCTGGGGCCCAGAAGGAAGGAGCAAACAGCAGACCTGTTCTGCCCCACCTTCCCCCACAAAGCCCGGACAAGCAGGGTGGGCCCCAGGCGGCCTTGGCCTCCACTTCAAGGCCTGTAGGAAACAGTAGGAGACTCAGATCAGAGGGCAGGCGATCAAACGACAACCTTGGGAGCTCTGAGCACTCTAGTCTTAGAAGGGGGGAGGGGAGAGAAACCAGCTAGGAGAAGCTCAAAGAAGGGCCTTCCTGCACAGAGGAGGCCAGGGAGCTCCCTTTGCTGGAATGATGATCACGGTCATGGGAACTCGTCTTTGTCCTCAAAATCTAGGCTCCCAGAATCGGGTTCGGCATATATGCCCTGGATGTATACGCAGGGAAAATGCAGTACTTCCGAGCCCCTGGCTCCCCATTCTCTGCCCCATCCCGATGTCCCACAGTCTCACACCCAACCTCTTTTAGTCTCCTGGCATTTGCCACCCAGCTTGCCGCCTTCCCGGGGAACTCAGACAGGCAGGAGCCAGAAGGTTGAGGCCCCTGACAGCTGGGAGGGGGCTCTGCCTCTTCCCCTCCCACCGCTGCTGGGTCTCTGATCTCTCATCATTCCTCAGGCAATTACAGAGCCAGCAGCTCAGGTTGTCGGCTCAGCAGGCCCCCCAACCCCCATCAGCACCTCCAGGGGCAAGGAAGGCGAGAGTGTTCCACAAGCTGGTGTACAGATGGAGCCAAGGCCACGTCTGCGAGGGGTGGGGATGGGCTGGGGAAGACTGAAGGGTGACAGACAGGGTGAGAAAGAGGCAGGAGGGAGCAGGAGAGGCTGAGGAGAGGGGCTGGGGGAGGGAGGGCAGGGAATGGGAGACAAAGACAGGATGCTGGACCACCACCACGGTAACCAAGATGGAGAAATCCAGCAACAGAGACAGGCATCGGGGAAAGGGTGAGAGTAAAGGAGTACAAAGGGTGAGAGGTGGCCGCAGAAAGCCCTGATGGCAAATGGTCCAAAGAGCAAGAAGAGTGAGTGGTGTGTGTGCGTGCACATGTGCACAGACGTGGTGGTGCCTCCTTGAGTGTCCTTGTCCCTGGGGGGGGAGCATGCCAGGCAAGGGACTGGGAGGGAGGAGGGAGGCGGGCCCAAGTAGGGGGGGCTTCTTGGGCTTAGAGGTCAGGCTGTACTGACAGGCAGGGCAGAGAGACAAACAGCAGAGAAGCTGTTGAGCCAGGACCAGAGAGACAAAGCCCACGACAACAGAGACAGAGCAGCAGGTCCCTGGCCACTTGTGGCACTGGGGCTAGGAGACAGTTGTAAGGCAAGATGAATGAGCCACTGCTGGCTGGCCCTCCTGGAGGAGGTGGGGACCCCCACAGCAGGAAGGGAGAAGCACTCAGAGTGAGCAGCCGCCCGGCTGGAGGTAGGCGCCCACACGTCTCCAGGCACAACCGTGAGCGTCCGTGTGCATGCCCGCACTTTGTGCTGGGGCGATGCACAACAAAGGCAGGCTGATCCTGAGTGGGTCTAGCTGGGAACCCATCCCCCCGGACACACCGCACCGCACAGGCAAGAAGAAAGGGCGTGGCAGGCACCGAGGCAGACTGCTGTCCGCTGGAGCCTGCACAGACACTCAGGGCTCAGGGCGGCAGAGGAGCCACGCCCCTTGCGGCACCTCAGTCCCTGGGTCCCCTGGGGAGTCTTCTCCTCTGGCCTCCTGTCCTCTTACTGAGGGGGACTTGGAAGGTCGTGGGTTGAAGCCGAGATCTGGGGTGGCTGCTTTCCTCCCTGACTCCCTGACCACACACACACACACACACACACACACACACCCCTCACGAACCTTCAAGGGTGCCCCGCGTCAAGGGTGTCCCGCGTGAGTGAGTGCCCAGGTCCTGTGTAGGGTCCTCCGTGTCCCTCCCATCTGATAGAAATGGAGTCCCTCCAGGGGCACGTAGCCAGAGGGCCCTCCAGCTCAATGTCTGTTGAGAATGGCAGCTTCCCATGGCCCGGCAGGCCCACCAGGGGCAGGGCTGGGGGCTCAGCTGGGGCTCAGTGCCCCAGGTGTGTGAGACGGTCAGGGTGTGGGTGCTGGGTCCACGTCCTTGAGGCTCGGGGAGTGAGCGCATGGGGGCATCCATGCCCGGGCTGTCTGCCAGAAGGGCTGGTGGGGGCCTTTGAGCCCGTCGGTGCGTATATGAGGGTATGGGTGTCACCTCCACCCTACGCACTGTGTTCCTTTAAGGCTCCTCCTCGCCCTCCCCCCCCCAGGCTGTGGCTGGCGGGTTTCCATGGAGATGGAGCCCAACTCCCTCCACTGGCAGCGGAGAGGAAAGCCTGCCTGCCTGCCTGCAGCAGCCTAATGGGTTAGATAATACATAAAGGAGGCTGCTGGGTGGGAGCCCCCACAGGTATCTGGGGCCTGGAAGTGCTAAAGGACTGCCACCTTGTCCTCTGTGGCTCCCACCGCCTCGCCCCTCCCAAGGCACTCCCCAGAGTGAGCCCACAGCCCCCTCAAGGCTGCAGTCTCCAAGGCAACAGCAGCTCACCTGTAATGGACCATTCTCCTTAAAGGATGAGGAAGGGGTGGGACAGAGGTTAACCCTTCATGGGAGAGCAGTGAGAACAGACCGTCTCCACTGGGGAAGGAAGGGGGCATCTCACCATCTGCGGCCAGAACGGCTTTTCTCCACCCCCTCACGTGTGTGTCTCAGTCAGGTGCCCCATTTTATTAAGTAAATCCATGGATACCACTTACCACACGCCAGGGCTCTTCCAAGCACGTTTACACACATCGCCCAATGAATCCTTAAAATCACCCCGGAGAAGGAGGCCCTATCATTACCCCAATTTTACAGATTAGGGAACTGAGGCTCAGAGAACCAGAGCACAGTGTCCAAGGTCACAGAGCTGGCACTAACGTTCACCAGGCGTAAGGTTCTAGATGGCGTGGAGGTTCCCAAAGCCACCAAAGACTACTCTGGCAGGGGGGAGGTCAGCTTGCCTCTCAGGCATGTGTAAGGCATGTGTACGTGTGCTCCCAGAGGGCCGGGGGCCTGGACGAGGATGGCCTCCAAGCCGTCCTGTCCCCTAGGGAAGGGCTGATTTGCTAGGCAGATGGCAGGCAAATGGGGGGGGGCAGGGATGGAAATCTTGGGAGGAGGCCACGTGGAAGTAGGGTGTGACCCATATCACGCCTCAGCACAGAGCAGGGACCGTCTCATCCCTAGGCCTTGGGCTTTACTCGACCCACCATTCAAGGACACC